TGTTGTCGTCTTCTATCTTCTGTGCCTTGAATTTCTTCAAGAACGCACAGCTCCTTTTAGAATAATGTATATTGTGCCCGAAGCATTGTCGAGAGAAATCATGGAAGGAGAGGTGAACGAAGAAACACCTCTGAATCACTGGGAACAACCTAGAAAACATCGGTCCCTAACACCAGTCGTTGCCTTCAGTTCATTAGTTGCTCTCTGTGGTTCCGTGAATATAGGATATGCTGTAAGTACCATCTCTCTCTCTCTCTCTCTCCCCCCCTCCCTCCTTGTGGCTACATCAATGCCATTAATTACCACTTTTGGATCTCATGATTTTGCAGTCAGCATTCTCGTCACCTTCTGAATCAGGAATCAGGAGGATTTGGGACTCTCTGTTGCGCAAGTAATTTTCTCTTCTGAAATTCTCCAATTGCTTCCACTATCTCTGTCTAACTTGCTAACTCGACCTGTCACCTAGTACTCCTTTTTCGGCTCAATATTTACAATAGGGGGAGTGTTTGGTGCACTCATCAATGGGAAATTAGCTGATTTCGTTGGCCGAAGAGGTGTAAGTCTTCTCATTACTTCTGCAAAACATGCTTATTTCCTTGACACCTTGTATCACCTCCAACACTCAATTCTTTCTGGCATGTCAGGCGCTGTGGCTGGCTGATGTTTTCAGCGTAGCTGGGTGGATTGCCGTAGTTCTTGCAAAGGTTGGTTTCAGTGTTCCCTCTTTCTCCACTAATCATTGTAAGCATAGACGATAAGGTGTGGTTCGTTAATGATTTGCAGAATGCTTTCTGGTTGGACCTTGGCAGGCTGCTTTTGGGCTTTTCAATTGGGATTGTAACTTTCGTGGTAATTGATTCTTTTGGGTTAATTATGTTTGCTAGGATCATACGATTATATAATTCGATAACTCAATATCCGAAAATCAGAATATTTTCTATCCAAAACAGGTGCCCATGTATATTGCAGAAATATCGACCAAGGAGAGCAGGGGACAGTTCACATCAGCAAATCAGGTCTATATTTACATATGTAATGCGAAAAGATCTTGAAAATGTGGACAGGCCAGTATTTAAATGCTTGAAGTGACTAATTCATGTGCAGTTGCTGATATGCTCTGGAATTTCTCTGGTATATATCATCGGCATCCTTATTAACTGGCGCATTTTGGCTCTTCTGGGTTATTTCTTCTTATTCCTTCCACCCTCTCCTTTGGGCTTTGGCTTAGTTGAAAACCATCAACGTTTCAATCTAACTCTTAATACTGCTGCAGGTTTAATTCCTAGTCTACTACAAGCTGTTGGACTATTTTTCATTCCAGAATCTCCTAGATGGATGGTGAATTATATTCAAATTCTTAGACACATTCACTTCACATACACCCATCCGTGAACATGCATGGATAATGTCCACATTGAGTTTACCGATTGTTGCCTGTCTGGGCCTTTAAGTGAAAAATAGCAGCTATAATAAATGTAGGCAAAGGCTGGTCGCGAAAAAGATGCTGAAGCTTCACTGCAACGTCTTAGAGGCAAAAATGCTGATGTTAGTCAAGAAGCTGCCGATATCAGAGTAATGTTAGCCTTCACTTAATTATAATTATTTGTGTATATATATATATATATCAGCGACAATATCCTTAGATTCATGGGGGATTTGACAGAATTTCATAGAAACTACGGGACAACAATCAGAAGGGAGTATTTTTGAAATATTTCAGAGAAGATATGCCCGTGTATTAGTTGTAAGCAATTACTTAGCAACTCTATGCATATAAATAAAAGACTGGTTAGTTATATACTTGTATTTACTTGGATATCTCCTTTTTTCCTTGTGATTATGATAGATTGGGGTTGGTTTGATGTCACTGCAAAATTTTGGGGGCGCAAATGCAATTTCATATTATGTAAGTTCCATATTTGAAGAAGCCGGTAAGTCAAATGCAATGCTTATGACGAATATATTGGACTTCTAATTTTACAAACATTCTGTGTATTTAGATGAAAGAATCGTCTGTAACTTGGTATGAAATTTGACAGGATTTTCAAGTGCCATTGGAACCGTAGCAGTGGCCATTGTAGAAGTATGCCTTGCGTGGGTTTTTATGGTTAACTAGTTGCTACAGTGAATGTATTTTTCTGACAGTTTAATGATGTGATTCTGTAGATTCCAGCTGTTCTTGTGAGTGTAATCTTAGCTGATAAATTTGGAAGACGACCTCTTCTAATGGTGAGAAATGAGAATGGTCTGCGAAGATTTTGTTCAGATATGACTGATCTTTATTGATTTAAAGCAGAGGTGACAATGTGACATTTAGTTAATTGTTTGTAGTTGTCTGCTGCTGGAATGTGTTTGAGCTGCTTTCTCACTGGTTTGTCATTTGCTTTGAGGTTTATATACGCCGCAACTAAAGTTGCACATCTTTTTATTTTCCTTTATGCACACACCACTCACGGATGCACACGCAAATATATACCTATAGGCTATAGTACATTCATGAAATTCTTGCACTCTATGATGACCAGGAAGCTCATTTATTCAGCAAGCTTGCTCCAATTTTGGTGCTCATTGGGATATTGGTAAGTGTTCAATATATGTAGGCCATATTTTATGCACGATGCGTTTGGTTGTAAATATATATATATATATATATATATCAGCATTGTCCAATATAATATTAGTTGTTGAAGTAGCAAGTGTTTTGTTTGAATGACAATGCATTCAGGGATATAGTGTAGCTTATCCACTGGGTGCGGCAGGAATGCCATGGGTGGTAGTGTCAGAGGTTTGTAGTTTTTCTCCATGTTTGTCTGATCAGATTCACTAAAACTTTTGGATATGCATAATTAATTAGAAAAACATTACTTTTAGTCTTTATTCTTTGCTCGAGTTTTGTTATAGGTCTCTGTAATTTTTTTTTGGTGTTCTAAGTTTATATACTTTTCTCCATATGCAATGTTAGTCCCTATAAATTTTAGAAAGACATTGACATGTCATAAATAGAGCTAAGATTGTTGAAGTGTCCACTAGCACCATTAATTTTATGCCAGTGTGTTAAATGGATGCTAAGTTGGCTTTTGAATAAGCAAAATAAATTAAAAAAGCTGTGTCAAATAAAAAACGACTAGCTTGGAGTTGGAAAAAAAACTCTCAACTTAAAATATCTATAAAATATTTCAAAAAATATTTAAAATGTATTTAATCTTGATTTTTAAACTTAAGACTTGCAATTTTTTTAAAAAAAAATTTGAGTCTTTACATTTTTTAAGTATCCCAAAAATATCTATAATTAATTTTTTTAACTCCATGCCAACTTTTTTTTTTCCTTTGATGTTGCTTTTTTTTTTAGTTTATTTGCTTATTAAAAAGTCCAACTCAGGCACTCAGCACCCATTTAACACATTTATGTCAACAATCTTAGCACCGTTTGTGCTACATTGCCATCTGAAACTCTAAAGACCAACATTATAAATAAAGAAAAGTATAGGGACTCGAAACACCAAGGAAAAGTGCAAGGACCTATAACAAAACTTGAACAAAGTATAGGAACAAAAAATAATGTTTTCCTTTAATTATACACAAACACACACACATGCCAATGTTAGAGAAAATGATAGTGGCTGTGGATTTCAGATATATCCAATAAATATTAAAAGGTTCAGCGGGAAGCCTGGTAACGGTGACCAACTTTTTATGTTCATGGATAGTGACGTACACTTGCAACTTCATGATGGAATGGAGCGAATCAGGTAGCCTTACCACATCCTTTTCCTCGTAAGAAACCTGCTAGCATCCTCTGTTGCATCAACACGTTTTTTGTTTGATTTGCAGGAACGTTTTTCATATACACCATTTTTTCTGGTTCACTGCTCCTGTTCGTCACAATGCTGGTGCCAGAGACCAAGGGTCGAAGTTTGGAGCAAATCCATGCATCACTCACCCATCATCCATTCTAAATCTCTTCAAACCTTGTTAATTCCCAAAAAATTCTGCTTTCAGACACCATTGTTCTTGCATGATTGAGTTGTGCTTATGGGTGTCTAGCATCATTTCGAGATATCTAGTACAGTACTTGCAGCCTTACTAGCAGCAATTTTTTTTTTCTTGTGAAACAATATATATATATATATATAAAGCACAGCTTCTTGGCGTGCGCTTTATCTAAGAATGTCAAAATGTAGAGCCAAAACGTGTCGGAATATCTTAACATCTTTTAAGATTTGAAAAAAGATTTCACTTGTGAACTTTCAAAGACACAAGATGCTTCCTCTTGCTAGATCCTTTTCACTGCAGATAAGCAAGACAACATGGTTGATCTCAATGCACTTATATGGCCAAGTCATCTGTTTTCAGTCACTTCAGTGAAATTGAAGATTTTGGGATTAGAAGCTGATCGCATATTTCAGAACAGATCAATTAGCTCAAGTTATATCGCTGCCTTGATTTGTATTGCATAAAAGTAGGAAGAAAAGTGTTCAGCATTTGAAGCAGCCATCACCTTTTCTTTTTTCCCGCCCTTAAAGGGCTACTGCACACTGTCTCTGGAAAAATAACTTCTTGTTTTTTTTTTTGGTGTCTTAGTGAGTTTGTGATGAGTTATTCACTTCCCCTTTAATATGTGTTTGGTTTTCAATCTACAACTGGTAGAAATCCATTTAGAGAATGGAACTACTTGTTTAATTTGGTAAAAGTACATTTCAAATGTCATTTGGATATGCTATTGAAAGTTACTCAAACAAGCCTTTATTTTTTAACTCCAATAGATTAAACTCCTTCTATACACTCAGAAAGAAAAATATGGCATTTACAACACAAATGGGGAAAAAAAAAAAGACAAGCCTTTATTTTTTTACTCCAATAGATTAAACTCCTTCTATACACTCAAAAAGAAAAATATGGCATTTACAACACAAATGGGAAAAAAAAAACCAAAGAGGAGTTAAAATTTAAGAAAAGATCGATCGTTAAATAGTCAATAGTGATTCACAATTCAATTGATGGATTTAAATTAAATTAGCATGTTTTTCATTTTATATATAAAAAAATATTAATTGCTATAAAAAATGTTTTGACCTATCCATTGCTATGGGTAAAAAAGCTTGAATAAGAGTCTTTAAAAAATTTTGAATTTTCAGTTTATTATTTTTGTAATATAATTGAATTTCATTGATGTTATATACCAAAAGAAGTTAAAAAATACCAATGTCATAAGAAAATTGTGGGGACAGCATATTCTTTTTTTAAAAAAATATTGAGTAATATTTATGACAAAGGGAGGTATAATGGTCCTACAAAATTAAATTCGGTAAGTTAACTGCTCGTTATTAGTTGGGTAGATGGAAAAGGGAAGGGAGCTTTGTGTAAGTGCCACAAAAATGTTTTGACCTAACAGTCGCTATAGAAAGAGTTTGAATAAATGTCTTTAAAAAAATTAAGTCTTAAATTAATTTCCTCTGTAATATAATCAGATCTTTAAAGCATGTAATAGTATAAGAATAGGTGTGTAGAACAAATAGAAATCACAGCTCGCATTTACAATGAAGCATGTGAAGGAGGGAGAATGACCATACATTTTCATTGAATCCAGCAAGTATTAAACATTTAGGGCTAACAAGATAGAAAATTTTGTAGACACAAGGTTTAGAGCTACACTATTGAAAATATTGAAATTACATGTCAATGAATGATCAAAATGAAAACAAGAACATCATTAACTACTGTCTATCTCCCCTCAAAATTTGAGATAGTTACTTATTGATGGAATATAATTCATCATTTTTTGGAGTTTGCTCTACTGAATGAGGCATTTTTGTCTAAGGATGAATGCAGGTTGGTCTGGGGGAGGAATGTCCATAATCTCACTTTGGAGCATTAACATTATAGAGGCCATAGTGGGCCTATTTTTTGCAAGTTCTTGCACACATAAAAGACCTATGTGTACGCACCTCAATATATCCTTGTGAAAGCTTGGAACATATATTTTTGGATCTATTAGAGATATAATGTTGTCTTCAATCCATAGTTTCCATGCCTAGAAACATTAACAAAATAAATAATAATAGGTTATAAGCTTTAATGTTATATTGTTACTAACAAAGTCATTTAGAGTGTTTGCAAGAAAAGAAGCCACAAATTGAAAAGACTTACAAATCCTAAAAGTGTGAATGACTTTGCATCTTCATAAAAGCTAATGTTTCTTCTTCCACTAATAATTTTAAGCAACAAAACACCAAAGCTAAAGACATCAGATTTTTCTGAATAAAGTACTTCTGTTGCATATTCTGGAGAAATATAGCCACTGCATTTAAACACCAAATATTTTAGCTCACAATATACTATTGATATTAATATTTGAAATATAGCAAAAGGTGCACATACTATGTCCCAACAATTCTTCCTGTATTTGCTTGATCTTCACCACCTCCAAAAAGTTTAGCCATCCCAAAATCTGATATCTTTGGATTCATCCCTTCATCCAACAATATATTACTTGCCTTCAAATCTCTATGTATAATTTTTAGTCTTGAATCTCTATGAAGATAAAGCAATCCTCTAGCAATTCCCTCAATTATGTTGAAGCGCTTCCCCCAATCTAAAAGTTGTCGTCACAAAGGATCTGTAAAAGATTATTTTAGGAGAGTTGTTTAAGGTTTTATGAAGACCCTCCATTCAATTCCTGCAATATGCAAGTGAAAGGTGGTAGTATTTGGCATGCTAGGTGATAGGTGATCATCTCTTGTGTCTAATTAATTGCTCGTACCTTTACCATTGCTCTTTAGATAAACCACAAGAAATGTCCACCCACTACCTTGAAAAGACACATGGTACTAAGAAACTTGAGAAACATTCTACAATTTCATCAAAGTGGTAGTATCTGGAAAAATATGAGTTGAAATTTTTAAACTTGTTTCTTTAAATATTCATCAACGTTCAGGCCAGTTTTTCTTCATCCTCTCTTCCTCTTATGCATGGTGTAGAAACATCTAATTTAGTAAACTATCATACATATGCATAGAAGATTGTACTAACCAAAGATATATGCATCCAAACTGTTGTTTGGCATGTATTCATAAACCAATATCTCTTCTTCTCTTTCAATGCAACAGCCAAGAAGTCTAACAAGGTTTCGGTGTTGAAGCTTAGAAATCAACTCCACTTCATTCATAAATTCTTCCATACCCTGTCGTGACGATCTTGATAATCTTTTCACTGCTATTTCCTGTCCATCTTCCAACTTACCCTGAAATAAAATAATAAAAAAATGCTAATTTCTCATGACTTGGAAGACGTTAAACTTTAAAAATTGAAAATCACCTTGTAAACTGGACAAAACCACCCTGCCCAAGTTTTTGCTAAGTCAAAGTTGTTTGTTGCAGTTGCCAACCTTCTATAATCAAACAATGATAGCTCCTGACTTTTGATTTGCTTCAGATTTGTAATCCTTCTTTTGTCATCAATTTGCATCGTTATTTCACCTGTGTTTAAGACTTCTTTTTCCATTTAATTTTCATTGGGAAACATACGTTGCAATTGTAGTACCATGTTACTAAAGCTATGGGTAAATATTATGAAGTTCCCATATAATTTGTATCAAAATGTGGAAACTCATATAAGTTGTGATAGGATAATTTTTCTCATCGGCATGCTTCTTTTTCTCTCTGTATGCTCTGCTCTGATAATTGTATCAAGCAGGAGCTTCACAATTTGAAACAAAATCATTGATCCCCTTGATAAACTCTCGCAGTAAAATATAGAATGTTACCTTTTGCTTTTTCGTTTTCTTCCATAAGAAATATAGAGAAGTAGTAATAAGAATTGTTCCTATTAGAACTGATATTACAATAGGTGTTGTCATGCTCCTATCTGTATCTGTATCAAAGAAAAGAAGAAAATTCAGATAACCCTTCATTTTCTGACAGGAAGTTCAAACATTATACTGCATATATGTATGAAAAGATGTAAAAAAATAAGATCAAGTTGTGTAGCTATTTGTTATCACATTCAAGTAAGAATACAGAACATGTGGACTTGTTTTGCAATCAAGCACCACACTAGTACATTGACTCGTTAAAATGGAAGTACCACCACATGTTATAATTCTATAGCACAATCTAGTAGCAACATAAATTACACCTAAGTCAAGAAGCGCCACCATACAGAGAAAGATAATACAACTTGATATGAAATCAGTCATATGACAAAATATATGATGCTTACATCAAATCTGGAGTTTTGTATCAAATCTTTGAATTTCTTTCTCTAATTAAAAAAGTTACCTAGTTCTGAGTAGGCTAAACGTATGTAAAGATCAACTCCTCCATCCGAGAATCTGTGCAGGTCAAGTAAATCTGCATACCAAAGCATACAACCAAGGCCTGTGGTAAGTGCATAAGCTACACAAGAGCAATTCTTCAGGCATGGAGTTTGACAATCTGCAGTGCCTTCAAAACTAAAAGGTAAAACCTCTGCATGATCTGGTGGTTTTACCCTTTCCAACTTTAGAAACCCATCTTCCTTGATAGCTTGAGAACCATTTTTGTCTCTCTCACACTGAAGTGCTTCCCTTCTCACACACCCACTGGTCCAGTTCTGCCTTTCCCATTCTTCTATGTATTTTGGTTCAAACCCTCTCATGCAGCTGCAAATCGGTGAGCCCAACGAATTGCAGATACCAAATGGACCACATATCCCATAAAATCACACTCTGTATCACCTGTTATCCACTCAAGTTCCCATATATTCGTCTGAGCATTCCAACGTTGTTTTAGTATGTTACCTTGGGGATCTAACCTAAGAGTTAGCAATATAGATTTATCTGTGTAATGAAAATATAGCTCAAAACTCCCTTCCTCTCCTTTAATCTGAAAGCCGTTCAGGAACACGGACAAACTTCCAGGTACCCCGAGAAAGTGGGTACCATTCCAGGGACCACTGCGCCAGTAAGGATGATTTTCTTTCCATATGAACACTTCAGTAACATTATGAGGTTCAATACTGCCAGAAAATACTCCATAGGATGGATCAGATGTACTTTTCCATGATGTTAGCTGCACTTTCTCACCTGTTTTTGGACGGTACTGAGTCTCATGTCCTGTAATAATGTATCACTAGGATGCTGGAAACTTTGCCACATGAATACTCCAGTAGTTTTATCTACGAGGACAAGGTTTCCAGAATCTAAGAGCTGAGCACTGGAATTTGATGTAATTGAGACATTTGTTGACCAAACAACCTGTTGTTGCCCATTCAAAACAACAAGGTCACCATTCTCTGATAGTGTGAGACTCCCAGAAGAATCAGTGAATGGGTTGTTTCTGTTGGCTATCCAAACAACAGAGGATTTGGACATAAACCAAATCCCTACATAGCGATTGGTCGAATTTTGAGGACTGAAGAATCCCAGCGTAAACATGTTATTGTTTGAGCTTACTGTTTCAGGTTCTTGGATTGAAAGAGATGGTGTGATGGTGTCCAAGGCACAAACCTGAACACTGAAAAATGTAATAAAAGTAAGTAACAAGTAAGCTTTTTTACTGAATCCCATAACGAACATAACGATCATAGGAAATGGAGGCTGAAAATGGGTTTGGGTATGCTGTGTAGGATAACCATCAACCTGTTCTGCTATGGTTAGCCAACACGGCAAAGCAATACTTGTGTCACAGTTATATCTTATCATAATACACTACTATTTTGTTCATAGTGCCGTCATCACCAGTTTTTCCCCTCATTTTTTTATTTGGGTATGACTGGTTCAGTGTATGGTTTTAAAAAGTTGCCTCTTCATCCATTTAAAATTGTTGAAGTGGTTGAAACTAGCTTGTTGTGCTAAAATGACTTCTTTCTAATTGTCAGGTTGATTATCTTCAAGATGTATCTGAGATGACTTCTGCAAATCATCTGACCAAATAATGAAAGTTCCATGAAGCATTATATAATCTCCATTCAATATTTTGTTTTCGGTAAAGTTAACAATCTCCATTCAATATGTTTTTTTATATTTTAATCTCCATTCAATATTTATCAACACACATGTTTAGATATAATAAAGTACATAATATTGCACCATCAGACTTCTATAATTTATCGATTGGCCAACACAAAAAGACACATAATTTATCTGCACAATTTTTTTTTTATTCGCACATTGACATGTAAACTCACTATTATTAATTCTGCGATTCGATTGGATTAACCATTTAAATTATTCAACTTGTCTGACTTGTTATTTGTACATGATTTTTATTGTTATAGCTGTTGTTGTTAGTATTCTTTTTCCTGGGGAGGAGGGTGCATCTATTATGAGTGGTTCATAAAGGTGACCTTCAATTAGTAATTAAAATGATAAATAGCCTGCAAAATGCAACTACAATTTTATACTCATGTTCAATAATGATGTCCCTTTAATAATAATGGTTCGTAAGGTTCAGGTTAGACTGGGTTTTCCTTTGGTTGGAGCAAAACTTTTAGTTGATCCCATAAAAGAAAAGGGAGTACCTTAGATATTACAATTCTATTTGTATTGTGCGTACATTAAAAATTGCATATAAGCTTGAAGGTATCATTAGTGATGTGGATAAAAGGCAGGACATGATCTTGACACAACCCTATGACATAGTCCCTTTGATTCAAAATATAAATATTTTCTCTTAACTAATTTTGGTCCAAAATGCATGTCGTATTTGTAATTTTTTTATTTTACCCTTTATATTTGTTAACATAAATTCCTACATCTGTGAATTTATGACGTTCTTCTCATTCATCATAAATTGGAGCTAAAGATAAAAAAGGAAATCAATATGAATTTTCATGAGGATGAAGATTTTATTGGCATGGGGATTATTGTTACAAGATTCTTATATTTTGGATTGGAGGGAGTAATTTATAATCCTTCAGTTGCTAGGTGAATTTCTTTTGGAATATAACAAATAGTATAAATATGAAGCAATTTTAACTTGCGCTTAACTAAATTTGGGAAGATCTAATAATATATGAATATGGGCAGTGATTCTAACAAACATAGAAACCAGATGTCGCGTTTACAATGTAGCATTCAATTGAGGGAACATGACAATATTTATTTATGAAATACAGAAAACATATTAAACTTTTAGGACTAATCAGATAGAAAGTTTTTGCAAAACCAAGGTTTAGAGCTGCTTTGAGGAACATCTTAATAGTACATGTCAGTGAAGAATATTAAGATCATCTAAATGAAACAGAAACATAAAAATCCCCATCTATCTCCCATCAAAATTTGAGACAGTTAATTCATTGATAGAACATAATTTATCAATATTTGAAGTTTGCTTTGCTGCATGAGACATGGTTTGCCTCAAGATGAATGCAGGTTGTCCTAGGGGAGGAATATCCATAGTCTTGCTTTGAATCATTGACATTACAGATGCCATAGTGGGCCTATCTTTTGCAAGTTCTTGCACACAAAGAAGACCTATATGTATGCACCTCAATATATCATCATTAAATCTTGGCTCATATATTTGTGGATCTATTAGGGGTATGGCATTGGCATTGATCCATGACTTCCATGCCTGGAAAAATTGATGAGGAAAAATGATAATTGTCAAACTTTCCTACTATATTGACTGAAGACAAACAAATTGTATAGCTTTTGCAAGAAATGAAGGTATCAATTAGAGACTTACAAATCCTAAAAGTGACAAAGACTCTGCATCTTCATAAAAGCTAGTGTTCTTCCTTCCACAAATAATCTCTAGTAGCAAAACGCCAAAGCTAAAAACATCAGATTTTTCTGAATAAAGTCCTTCAGTTGCATATTCTGGAGAAATGTAGCCACTGCATTTCAAAACATCCTTGAGCTTTCAAAATGCTATTGATAATCAAGCAATAAAATTTAAAAAAAATAAATAAATGAAAAATAACAATAAAATCTCTCCAAATTATGTAAATAACAATTTGATCCCTCAAAATACTATAATTTCAATAAAGTCCCTAGGAACCTCTTTGTCAACAACTTTTTTTAGTGAAAAGACCATTTCACTCTTATTAAAAATAACAAGCCTCAATCATAACTTTTATTTAATGAATTACAACTTTTGTTTTATAAATCATAAGAGTTGAACAAGAAATTATAACTGATCAAATGTAATTTCTGTTATTAAAAAATAAACTCCAATCACAACTTTTACTTAAGGAATAACAACTTTTGTTCCTTGAATCGTAAGACTTCAACAAGAAATTACAATTTGTCAATTGTAATTTCTTTTATAAAAAAAGTTTTCAAAATAACAAATTTCATTCACAATTTGGGCGTAAAGAAACATAACTTTTCTTCAAAGAATCGCAAGAATCAAACAAGAAATCACAATTTGTCAATAAGCATAAAATGGTCTTTTCAATTTAAAATTTATTGACAAAAAAGTCCTTAGAGACTTCAGTGGAATTATGGCATTTTGAGGGATCAGATTGTCATTTATATAATTCAGAAGGATTTTATTATCATTTTTTCTAAATTAAATGCTTTTGATATTATTGTCTTGGACAAATAAAAAGTAGTGCTTACTATGTTCCAACAATTCTTTTTGTATTTGCCTGACCTTCACTACCTCCAAATAGTTTAGCCATCCCAAAATCTGATATCCTTGGATTCATCCCTTCATCCAACAATATATTACTTGGCTTCAAATCTCTATGTATAATTCTTAATCTTGAATCTCTATGAAGGTAGAGTAGTCCTCTAGCTATTCCCTCAATTATGTTGAAGCGCTTTACCCAATCTAAGGATTTTTGCTGTAGTGGATCTGCAAAAGATATTTTTAAGGGAAAGTGATGAAAGAAAGAAAATGTTTGCAAGACTATACTTGCTTCCTACAATTTGATATTAATTGGTTGTAGTATTTGTTATCCTAGGTGACTTTTCACTCTGTTAACAACTCTCTTCAAATGTTCATTTGGATTCCTGCATTGAGAGAGAGAGAGAGAGAGAGAGAGAGAGAGAGACTCATGTACTAAGAAACATGGCAACAAAGTAGTATAGTGGGGACATTATGAATAATAAGAGTTGAAGTGTGAGGAACAATCAAGTTTTACTTTTTCCTCTCTTCATCTTATGCTAAGTATAGAAACATGAAGTTTAGTTAAATTATGTATGCATATAGAAGATGTGCACTAACCAAAGATAAATGCATCCAAACTTTTGTTCGGCATGTATTCATAAACCAATATCACTTCTCTTTCAATGCAACAACCAAGAAGCCTAACAAGGTTTCGATGTTGAAGCTTAGAAATCAACTCTACTTCATTCATAAATTCTTCCATGCCCTGTCCTGACGATCTTGATAATCTTTTTACTGCTATTTCTTGTCCATCTTTTAACTTTCCCTAAAATAAAATGATGAAAAAATCTTAATTTCTTATGACTTGGAAGATGATGAAATTTGGGGGAAAAAATGAAAATCACCTTGTAAACTGAACCAAAACCACCCTTTCCAAGTTCATTTGCTAAGGCAAAGTTATTTGTTGCAGTGGTCAACTTTCTATAATCAAACAATGATAGCTCTGGAATATGGACTTGCTTCAGGTTTGTAATTCTTGTTTGGTCCCGAACCTGCATCTGCTTTTCCCCTGCTTTTAAACATTTTTCCCATTTAAGTTTGAAAAGCATATATTGCTATTCTGATGTCAAGTTACTAGAACTATGAATTAATTATTTGAAGTGCTCATATAGGGTGCATTTGGATTTCAATTTGAAAAAAGTCGTTTATCAAAAATTTATTTTGCAAAAATTAGTTTGATAAAAGTTAGTTATTTTAACGAGATTTGTCATTTGATACTTTTTTTCAAAAGTCAATTTACTAAATTAAAAATTATTTAAATAATATATGATGGAAAGTACTTGTAAATGTGTAATTACTATAAAGGACAAATTTTTAATAATATAAAATTTGATATTTTAACTAATAAAAAAGTATAAATAATAAAAAAATTGATATGTTGAAAAAATAATTATAAATATTTTCATTTGCATTTAAAAAATATATATTAACAAGGGACAATATGGAAAAAGAGATGGTTAAAAATTTTAACTCCGACATTTAAAATGCCAAAAGCAACTCTCCTTAACTTTTTGAAAAAGGACTTTTTGTACTCATATGAATGGACTTTAAGGATGTATGTTTAGAAATAAAATGCTTACTTTCTAAAAGTCACAAAAATTCTTTTGAAATGTTTCAGTAAAATACCTAAACAGTCACATAATTAATTAGGCTCCTTGTCTCTCTCTCACTATATATAAAGTGAGTGAAATTTAACTTTAGTTCCCTAAAACAAGGATATATTCATTTTATCGATTATTAAACATGATTTGAAAGTTAACATCAATTTCTGCCTAGAAAAAATCATTTTATAATTTTGTGATAGAATTTCAGTGACCTGTTTCTTTCTTTTCTCTTTATGCTATTATATTTCTTATGCATGTCAAGCAAGAGCCTAACAATCAGGAACAGAATAATTGATCACTTGACTGAACTCTAACAGTAAAACAGAACAACACCTTTATGCTTTGACCATTTTTTCCATAAGAAATATCCAGAGGCAGTAATGAGAATTGCTCCTGTCAGAACTGATATTATAATAGGAGTTGTCACGTTCCTTCCTGTACCTGCATCATAGAAAAGAACAACATTCAGACAGTTTCTTTTCTAACATTAAGTCCAATACTATGGGAGATTTTTTAAAAAAAAATGCCCAAGTATTTGTTACCAAATGAATAGACATCTAAGTGAAATGGAGAACCCTATCTCAAATGATAGCTCTTGAGATAGGAAAATCAACCCATTTAAATACTTCATTAAGCATATCATACTATTCAATGAAGGACTTGACATCCCATACTACTAAATCTCCATCAGACATAAAACAAGCATGTCCTTAGGTGTTTCAAAGAGTTTTCTCTTAGTAAAGGTACCTATTTCTGAGTAGGCTAAACGTATGTGAAGATCCATGCCCCCATCTGAGAAGCTTTGTATGTCAAGTAAATCTGCATTCCATATCATACAGCCAAGGCCTGTGTCATACGAATAAGCCATACAAGAACAACTTTTTAAGCATCGAGTTCCACAATATCTTTCTTGATCAATGTCATAGGGTAAAACCTCCGCTTGATCTGGTAGCTTTACCCTCTCCAACTTCAGAAACACATCTGCTTTGCTAGCCTGAGAACCATTATTGCCTCTCTCACACTGAAATTCAAGTGGTTTTCTTCTTACACACCCACTAGTCCAGTTCTGTTTTTCCCATTCTTTTTTATTTGTTGGTTCAAACCCTCTCATGCAGCTGCAGATTGGTGAGCTCAGTGAATTGCAGATCCCAAATGGGCCACATTTACCATAAACATCACACTCAGAATACCCACTTGTCCACACAGATTCCCATATACTTGCCTTGGAATTCCAGCGTTGTTCTTCAATATTACCTTGAGGATCTAGCCTAAAAGTAGTCAATAAAGACTGACCTGTGAAATTAAAATATAGTTCAAAATTCCCTTCCTTTATTTTGATTTGAAATGCATTTGAGGACATGTATGAACTCCTTGGTCTCCCAAGGAAAACTCTGCCATTCCAGGGACCACTACGCCAGTGAGGAAGATTTTCTCTCCACACAAAAACTTCAGTAACATTACGGGGCTCAAGACTGCAAGAAAATCCTCCATAGGATGGATCAGATGGACTTTTCCATGCTGTAAGTATTATTTTCTTACCTTCTTTTTGATTTGTAATGAGTTTCATGTCTTTTAATAATGTATCACTAGGATGCTGGAAACTCTGCCACATGAATGCTCCAGTAGTTCTGTCTACAAGTACAAGGCTGCCGGAATTTAAGAGTTGAGCACTGGAATTTGATGTAGTTGATGAGACATTTGTTGACCAAACAACCTGTTTTTGCCCATTCAAAACAACAAGATTGCCATTATCTGATATTGTGAGAACTCCAGAGGAATCTGATAGTGGCTTGTTTCTGTTAGCTACCCAAACAATGGAGGATTTAGACATAAACCAGATCCCCACATAGCGATTTGTGGAATTCTGAGGACTGAAGAATCCCAGCGTGAACATGTCATTACTTGAGCTAACTGTTTCAGGTTCTTTGAGTGTAAGAGATGGCGTGATGGTGTCTAAGGCGCAGACCAGAAGAATGAAAGAGAAATAATATACACTAAAAGCAATCAGCAAGCAACCACTTTTGCTGAATCCCACTAAGAGCATGATGATGATCTGAAATTGAGGCAGAAAATGGGTTTTGGAATTCTGTGAAGGATAACCCTTAACTTGTTCTCATATGGTTTTCTGACTCAGGAAAACAATCTGTCTCGGTAATATGATAACACCTTATGATAGAATTTTGTTCATATTGCCGCCCTTTCGATTTTCTTTTTTAAAATCTCTGTCCTCTTTTGGCGTCGCAAGTTTTGTTTACAGCTGTACAAATGGGCTCTTCATCTTCAAAAATAGTTGAAGAAGTTGAAACTAGCTTCTCTAGGGGATAATGGTTATTCTATATTGCATTGTCTAGTCAATTATCTTCTAGATATATTTGATATATGACGTGCAAATTATTTGACCAAAATATGAAAGTTCTAAGGTATCATATAAGTCTCTAACCATATTATACTGATCAAGACGTATATTTAGATCCATTGTAGTACATAACATTACAATATCAGTCTTCTATTAATTATCATTTTATTATTCATCTACACAATTTTGTCTGACTTATTCTTCGGATATAATTTTTTTTTTATTGCAAGATTCCCCAGCCCCCCCCCCCCAAGCGATCAATTACGTTTAAGAGTGGTGCTGGTTCGTACAAGTTGGATTTCTATAAGCAAAATGATTGATGGCGTGCCAAATACAACAACACTTTGAGTAACTAGAAAATAACGGAGTGATGCACGCAAAGATAATAATTTTCTCGGTGGAAAGAGAACTTAAAGATAATATTATCAAGTTTACGAGGAAAACGATACAAATAAGCTCACCCATGTTAGTTGTTCATTTTTCATATAGTACTTATTCATTATCTCAATATAAGTTATTCATATATCCAATTTTACTTGTTTTATATTCATAGTGATATTATATTATTAATAAAAGTTGCAAATTTTTTCTATATCAACTGTTCATTTTTCATACATTAATTGTTCATTTTTTTCTTTATCAATATTTTTTTTGGTAACACTACATCAATTGTTTTTATTTGAGGAGATTGGGATTATTTATAGTTAAGAGAGAGGATGAAAGATAAAAGTAACGGGCATCAATAGTAAAAACAATAAGAAAACATGAGAGTTGGAGTAGTTGAAATTTAAAACAACTAGAACCTACAAATTTAAAATTACAAAAAAAATTATAATAAAATATGTGTTTAAATGTATACTTTTATATTTGCAAATGGAAAATTTAATTCAAATTCAATTCCTCGTGCATTCGAACACACTAGTAGTCTATTTGTAAATTTAATAGAATGATTTGAAAATTTTATAAATCAATTTATAAAATTTGAAGAACCAATGCAAAAATTATATAATTCATTTGTAAATCTATAAGTTTGACTTATAAATATAAGAGATTGAATTATAAATATTAAAATTTTAATTTCTTAAACTCTCACTTTTAAATTTAAGAAGCCTTACTTGTAAATTTGCAAATTTTAATTTGTAAATATTAAAGTAATAATATTGAAAGAGGTTGATTTGTAAATGTAAAAAATTTACTTGTGAATTTTGAAGATTTAGATGTAAATATGTGATATTTGACATTTAACAAAAATACTTTTTCCAGAAAAAAAAAAATGTACTAGTCAATTCTGGCCAGGGACTGGTCACTAGTTGTCAGCGACCATCGGTGGTCGATCAACAGTAGCAAAAGGGATACGAGTAATGAGTCCAAAATGATGCGATCTAGCAAGCCATTTTAAGAAATGAAGTTAAACAGCAAGCTGTATCGAATACATTAGAAGAGCCAATTGTTTTTGACACCTCACGAAACTCTCTTCAGATTCCCAATAGTCTAATCACAAGTGCACGAGCTAAAAGAAAAAGAATTAAGTACTCGTTTAAATTTCAGTTGAATATAATAAATTATAAAAATAATTAATTAAGTAATAAATTTTAATTATAATTAATTATATTATAACGAAATTTGTTTAGATATTATTTTTTTTTAAATTAATTTTAATAGAATTGAAAATGTTTAGATAATTTAATCACAATCAATTTAACTATATAAATTACTATATAATTTAATTCTTAAATATCAAACATTAATTTTTTGATGATACAAAAGTTTAAATTTTATTAAGAAAAAAAATAAGAAAAGAAAGTTTTGTTTTATTTTTATTTAATGTTATGCCTTTTTATAATTTTTTCGGGCCTTTCTTTATAATTTTTTCCAACACTTTTGATTAACTTTTCGCAGAAAGCTAATTAAGAGAGCTTGCGAAAAAACGCACAGTCAATAATTAATTTTTGATTTTTTTTTTGACTGTTTAGATAACTTGGCTTAAAAAATCAATTTCAAACTAAAAAATCAATTTTATCCAAACACACACTAAGGATACATTGAATAGACTTGTGCAAGAGACTATGACAAAGCATGAGGCAATTGGACCAAAAAGTACAACAACAATAAGAAGCTTTTATTTCACTAGATAGGGTCCACTACATGAATTGTAAGATGTTATTATGCTCTATTATTTATCAAGTTTTTAAAGATATTATTATTTAAGAGATCGCGTTCAATAATTTTTAAAAGTGTTTTTTTAAGCCTTCCTCTATTTTTCTTAATAGAGCTTAAAATTATATATTATACTCTTTTCATAAGTGTCTCATGCGGTCTTCTTTGCACATGCACAAACCAAAAAGTAAAAGAAAAAAAAAATGCCGAAAACGTCATTGGTATTATGTTGAAAATGGAGCCGCTATGCATATTTTGAGCTCAGACTTCAAAATAAAAGGCATGGGCCTTAATAATGTTATTTCGGACTTAAAATGCTGATTCTATTTAATTATTCATATTTGTGCCAAAATTACATTTATTTTGGCAAATTTGACTTTTGAGTTTCCCTAATTCGTTGAATTGAGTCTTTGTAATTTTCTAGGCTAAAATTAAGTACATCAAGTCTCTGGATTTCTATTTTATAAGTAATTAAGTCGGCTTTTGAATTGTATCACTTTAAATACATTGCACACACTCATTTGTTATTAGACTTCAGATTTGATACTGGATGAATATTTTCATCATTCTAGAACATCCAAAGTTGAGAGTTTTTTGTAATATTATGCAACTAAACCCAAGAGGGTGCAACAAGGAGTTTATTAAACAAATTTGTATAAATCCCAAATACTTCTCTTGTAAAGAGTTTTAAAAGCTTTTACAAGAAATCCTTAAATTCTTGAAAACCGAATTAAATACAGAAGATAAAATCAGTTAGTCAAAACACGATTTAAGAAGCAAAGTAAATGATAGGTCATAAACCAATAAAGTTTGCAAGAGTGTAATGAGCTGAATATAAAGAGATTATAAATAAAAATACTGCGCAAAAGATTTATTCTAGTTCAACCCAACCACTTGACTATATTCAATCCTCGAAACACTTATAAGATTTCTTTATTATGGATACAAATTTCAATAGGTGCTTGCCACCATAGTATAACTTATAAGTTTGATCCAGGTACTTGTAAATCACTGCAAGCCTCTCACTATACCAGTGAGTATCTTGTACAAGAGAACAGCTTTTAAGTAGAGAAGGTGCCTACTTCTAAGTAGGCTAAACGTATGTAAAGATCCATACCTCCATCTGAGGAGCTCTATATGTCAACTAAATCTGCATTCCATATCATACAGCCAAGGCCTGTGTCATATGCATAAGCCATACAAGAGCAACTATTCAAGCATCAAGTTCGGCAATATTCTTCTTGCTCAATGTCATAAGGTAACACCTCTGCATGATCTGGTAGTTTTACCCTCTCCAACTTCAAAAACATGTATGCTTTGATAGCCTGTGAACAATTATTGCCTATCTCACACTGAAACCAAAATGGTTTTCTTCTTACACACCCACTAGTCCAGTTTTGCTTTTCCCATTCTTCATTATTTTTTGGTTCAAACCCTCTCATGCAACTATAGATTGGAGAGCTCAGTGAATCGCAGATCCCAAATTGGCCACATTTACCATAAACATCATACTCAGAATACCCACTTGTTCACAGAGATTCCCATATGCTTGTCGGGAATTCCATTGTTGTTTTTCACTATTACCTTTAGGATCTAGCCTAAAAGTAGTATAAAGACTAGTCTGTGAAATTAAATATAGTTCAAAATTCCCTTCCCTTCTTCTATTATGAGCTCCTTAGTCTGCCAAGAAAAACTGCCATTCCAGGGAACACTGTGTGCCAGTGAGTAAGATTCTCTCTCCTCATGAAAACTTCAAAAGCATTACATGGCTCAAAACTGCTCACTGCAGCAATATTGCTCTTAAACTAATTAAATCGAAGCAATGTTACCCCTGCTATTTAAATGTCCGTTACTGTAGTTAGTGAGACCTACTTTTCACCAGTTAAAGTGCAATTTTGTCTCTAAACTATTTTCAGAGGAGCAATGTTGCCATAACCATTTTGAAAATCATAAACATCCATTAATTGTAGCTAATGAGACTCACTTTACATTATCTCTCTCTAACAATGATTTAAAAACTAGACCAAACCGGATAGTTGAACTATCAACCGAAGCCGTTAACTACTTGGATTAGACCAAAAAACTGTTTTCATGATAAGTCGGTTGGATAGGAGTTAAGCCACTATTGATTAGGAACCAAGAGTTGAATCGGGAACTGGAGTAGTTTTTAAAAAACTGAATAGTTTTAACCATAATATTAAAAAAAGCTTAAAAATTTTAAAAAATAGAAAAATTTAAAAATTAAATCTTACTAAAAGCTAACTTTACTTTTGGACAATTCGCGTGTATAAAATATGATTTGGGATCATTTTTTTATAAAAATATTAACAATTATAGGCGCAAGTGCAAATACCATTATAAAGATATGAGTAAACTTAAAAGTATTTGCATTTGCACCTATAACTATTAACATCTAAAAAAAATGGTCTCAAATCATATTTAATATGTAACATCTCAAAAAACTTAACTTAAGGATAATTGGATAGTTAAGGATAAATTAGACAATTGAGAGTTAACTTAGACTAAAAATAATAATAATAGTAATGTATGAATGGCTAATGGTTATATCGGATCCTAATTAGGGCTTAGAATTAGACTCTGGGTGGTATTGGGCCATATTTTGGCCCAATTAGATGGATAATGTTCGAAATTTGAAATTTCAATCTTCGGCCGCAGCC